TAGCAAATACTTTGCTTAAACCACAAAGTTTTAAATACAAACTAATCATTCTTTTTAAAATTTTGTGCAAGTAATTCAAAGTAAAACAAGAATGGTATACATACATACATACATACATATATATATAAATAATGGTAAAAATAAAAGAGTGATTCCTGGGTGTATGCATACTAAGAAATAAAACGTGAGCACCAGGAAAAGTTAAAACATTAAAAGTTTTATAAAACGTTAAAAGTTTAAATATAAAACATTTAAAAGTTTTTTAAAAAGCAGACCTAGCTTTCGTTGGCTCCTGCCAACATCATCAGGGTGCAAATGAATCAGTGGGAGAGACATTTATAAACAAGCCAGGTCTCTAAGATAACAGCCAAAGATCAGAGACCCTCCCGACTTTAAGGATGGAGACGTACTTTCCGTGTATGAGGCAACCCAACAACCTTAGAGACCTCACCCCCGTTGGCCTGAATATTCTCCCCACTTGTATGGAAGCCCCCGTTACTGTGGACTTCCTCACCCACCCACCTGGAAGGCACTCGCACTCGTATGGAGCAGCGGAATTGCCACAAGACAGAAGGACGATGACATCCGGGTCCAACCCACCTCCCTATTCACTGCATTCGAGGAAAGCCACGCCCCCTGCGGTTGCACGGGAGGAGAGCGCCCATGAGCTCCCTGCCTCAGGAACAATCATACATCCTCGGACAGCAGCGTTTCGAGCGATGAAAGAAGAGAGGGTGATTGTTGGATGCCAATTAGATCGGACGCTGAAACGATCGCCCCAGAGGGTATCTGCCGCCCCACTTAGCGGACGGCAGGAATCACGGATTGGTTCTCCAAATGGAATAGGAGCTACTACAAGAAAAAAGGAGATTGATGCTGTTAAGGATTACAGCAGGAGGGTAGTTAGAAAAACTGAGTGTGAAGGGAAGTCCGATAGTACGAGTGCTTGTCGGGTGTTTGTAATAGGATCTCGGAATAGAGAGCAGGAACATGATGGTGATGGATGTCGAAAGGGTGGAGGGGGGGAGAGATCCATCTGTGTAGAAGATTTTAAGGGAGAGGAGGGTCAGAAGCAACTTGGTGATAATGATCACACACTAGATTGTAGAAAGGCTATGTGCCCTCTTGAGTCACAGATGCAGAGAGGTGGGAAAGTGAAAGCTAGTACGCATGTAGATGGGGAGAATGAGGACAAACTGAGCAATTATGTAGCAATTGACACAGGTGCAACGATTGGCCGGTTGGGACCTCTTACGCGGTCCAGGAGTTGAGCGCAGGAGCTGGCTTGTTTATAAATGTCTCTCCCACTGATTCATTTGCACCCTGATGATGTTGGCAGGAGCCAACGACAGCTAGGTCTGCTTTTTAAAAAACTTTTAAATGTGTTATATTTAAACTTTTAATGTTTTATAAAACTTTTAATGTTTTAACTTTTCCTGGTGCTCACGTTTTATTTCTTAGTATATCTACCTATCTATCTATCTATCTATCTATCTATCTATCTATCTATCTATCTATCTATCTATCTATCTATCTATCTATCTATCTATCTATCTATATCAGTGGCCCTTGAATTATGCTAGCAGTTGGGATTGGAACTTCTACTGTACATGTCCATAAAGTATGATGCCCTGTGATCCCATCACTTAGCATAGGTTAACTCTGGAAGTCCTGATTAATGTCATAATTCCAGGACTATGTGGATTGTTAAGCAGGAAAAAGTGGAAGACCAAAACAAGGACCATGGGCATGCCACTAGCAGGTGCTGCAAAGAATGAGAACAGATGGGTGGATGCCACAGGCAGGAAGCATGAAGCAAATGTGGGTCGGCAGGGACTACGAGCAGATGGGGAGTGCTGCGTTTGTGTGTAGAGGTGCTACAGTTTCAGCTAGAACTTTGAAGTCCAGTCCTAAGTCCCAAAGTGAATGGTCATAACTTGAGGACTATTTGTACAGTCCAGACATGCAATCATTTTGTGGAATCCATTAGAATTAGTTTCTCATTTTTATTCAGGCTTAACTGTCAGGAAGTTTCTCCTTAGTTCTAGGTTGCTTCTCTCCTTGATTAGTTTCCATACATAGCCTCTTTTCCTGCCTTCAGGTGCTTTGGAGAATAGCTTGACTCCCTCCTCTTTGTGGCAACCCCTGAGATATTGGAACACTGCTATCATGTTACCCCTAGTCCTTCTCTTCATTAAACTAGACATACCTAATACTCTATTTTATAGCATTGTAAGATATTATCTGAAAATAAGTGTTTTTTACATGTTTAATATATATTTTAGATATTTAGCGCTGGATTTTTAAAAAAATTCTCTAGGTGTTTCATTCAGTGTTTTTCTTATTATTATTTTTATCTCTCTACTATTTTTAGTATTGTATTATATCACTGGCTACCTTTTGTATTATTGCATTCTGTTTATGGTTTATAATTTTGTAAATGAAGAGAGAAAATATAATAAGCTTCACTTGAAGGCACTTTTACTTTTTAATGTCATGGAAAAGAAAAATGCCATACAGCAGGAGTCTGCAACCCTAGGTCTGCAGACCAGTATGGGAATCGGTCCATGCAAGCGGCAGGTGAGCACACAAAGCTCCATTTGAGCATGTGTGGGATTACGTTGCATGCATAAAACCATCCTCCCCTGCTGCCACCGATGGTCCACAGAGCCAGAAATGTTGGGGACCGCTGCCATAGAGGATCCAAAGAAAAGGGCTTCAAACCACATGAAATAGTAGTAACTGTGAGAGGGATCTCGGAGCCCTAGTGGACAATCACTTAAATATGAGCTAGCAGTGTGCTGCAGCTGCCAAAAAAGCCAACAGTTCTAGGCTGCATTAATTAACAGAGGGATAGAATCAAGATCATGTGAAGTGTTAGTATCACTTTATAATGCCCTGGTAAGGCCACACTTGAAATACTGCATCCACTTTTGGTCACCACAATGTAAAAAAGATGTTGAGACTCTAGAAAGAGTACCGAGAACAGCAACAAAGATGATCAGGGGACTGGAGGCTAAAGCATATAAAGAACAGTTGCTGGTATTAGGTATGTCTAGTCTAATGAAGAGAAGGACTAGGGGTGACATGATAGCAGTGTTCCAATATTTCAGGGGTTGTCACAAAGAAGAGGGAGTCAAGCTATTCTCCAAAGCACCTGAAGATAGACAAGAAGCAATGAATGGAAACTAATCAAAGAGAGAAGCTACCTAGAGCTAAGAAGAAATTTCCTGACAGTTAGAATAATTAATCAGTGGAACAATTTGCCTCCAGAAGTTGTGAATGCTCCAACACTGGAAGTTTTTAAGAAGAGATTAGACAACCATTTGTCTGAAATGGTATAGGGTTTCCTGCCTGAGCAGGGGGTTAGACTAGAAGACCTCCAAGGTTATTCTATATTCTATTCTCTTCAAGAGTATAGCAAGGATGTATATGTTCCCCTTATTTATTTGCTCCGTATGCTAAATGTATATTAAGGGAAGTCAGTTAGGAAGAAGATGAACATAGTTTTAAAACTTGAAGAAGAAACAACAATAATCTGTGCCATGCTAATGACACTACCTTGGTAGCTGAAAATGCAAAGGATCTGCAAGCTCTAGCAATAAAATTCAAGGAATGCCATGAAAATATATAACTAAAACTAAATATACAGATCAAATTAAAGAGAACAGATACAACAACCAGGCTTATAATTGAAAATGAAGATATTAAAGTGGTGGATACCTTCTGCCTTTTAGGATTAACAATAAAAGAACAAGTAATGAAGAAATATGCCAGAGACTAGGACTTGGTTGAGCCACAAAGACTTTGGAAAAGATGTTCCAATGCTGTCATGTCTCTATACCTATGAAGATCAGAATTGTGCAAGGCATGGTATTTCCTGTGATACTCTATGGAAAGAAAAGTTGGATTTCAAAGAAGTAGGCTAGGACAGTGATGGCGAACCTTTTAGAGACCAAGTGCCCAAACTGCAACCCAAAACCCACTTATGTATCATCTGGTGCCAGGTGGGTGTGGCCCATTGGGTGGGTGTGGCTGTGGTGGTAATGGCAGATGGGGTGGGACTAAAAAGTTAAATCAATCAATTCCAACTTTGTGAGATTTTTTTTTCCCTGCGAGAAATTGACTGATTGAACCTTTTTTTTTGTTTTTGTACACTGCGGTGGAGGCCTAAAGCGAAAAGGTTTTATAAAACCCAGCTGAAGGCCTAGGACTGGGACAACGGTGTGCATGCCCACGGAGAGGGCTCTGTGTGCCACCTATGGCACTCGTGCCATAGGTTCGCCACCATGGGGCTAGGAAAAGTATTGATGCTTCTGAACTTTGGTATTGGATAAGAGTATGTCTATGGAGATTCTCAGTCATCCAGATCATAATTGTCCCAAATATGCTTTTTCACAAGGCAACTGGACTTCCTTGTTTTTTCTTTGAAGACGTTCCACTTCTCATCCAAGAAAGTTCTTCAGCTCTGGAGAAGATTATATTATGGACAGCCAAGAAAACAAATCAATAATTATTGGACAAATCAACTCAGAGTTCTCACTTGAGGCACAAATGACCAGATTCAAATTATTCTACTTCAGACACATTATGGGAAGACCCAGCTCTCTGGAAAAGGCTCTAATGCTAGGAAAGTGGAAGGAAAGAGAAGAGAATGAGTAGTGAAATGGATGGACTCAATTACAGCAGTGAAGGGAGTACCATTAGAAGACCTGAAAGAGCCGTTTAAGGACACATTGTCATTAAAGAAGATCCATGGGATCTCTAACCTAGCGCCTGCTCCATACATGCTAAATTCCAACTCCCAGCATCCACACCCCACACTACAGCAACCCTGTTGGTCGCGAATAATGGGAGCTGTAGCCCTTCATATCTGGAGCTATCGGGCCAAGAGAGAACTGGAGTAAGGAATCTCCAGCAGAAAGCACCTAGACTCTAGAGAACCCTCTCCCCACCCGCAAACACTAATAATGTCATTTAATAGCAGTTTCTCCACTCACTTGCGCCAGGACCAGGAAGAAGCCGCCGGTCCCCTCCTGCCCGCTCCATCGTCTGCAGGACCCCACCAAGGCGCCCCCACCGAGCAGGGAGGCGGTTGCGAGCCAAGGGCTCGTCCAGCGTCTGAGTCCCCGGAAGCTGCCAAGCACGAGCACCCCGCGCCTCCCGCAATTGCGGACAAGAGCGACCAAAGTAGCTCCCCACGCCGCCGCCATTTTCTCGGAAGTAGAAAGATCGCTGACATCAATCCGTAAACTTTGAGTAAGTAGAACCACCCACAGTTCTCAGCTTCCGAGTTCACTTTGGTTATTCCGTATTCCTATTCCGTCAAGGGCTAGCTAGAAACTTGTCGGAAAAACATCCACAACGAAGGCACACAATAAAAGCAGGTTTTACCTTTCTGGAATAGGTCTTCGTTGCTGGTGAGAATGGTTTTCAAAAAGTCGCCTTTTAAATGTTTTAATGGTCAGCGGGGCTGTTCGCAAGCTGCATTGGGTGTAATTTGAGTGAGGGGCTTGCTTGAAAAAGAAGTTTAAAGGAGTAGTTTAAACAGACTTGCTGGAACGTGGTTAAAAAAGAAAATACTCAGCTCAAACACTAACCTTGGGCGGCCTTACAGAGAAATTTTCTCTCGCTGATGAAAAAAATGGAGCAAGTCTGAACAATAGTAACGGGATAGGTAAAAAAGTAAGTATTAATTATTGTTATGGACTGGCTTTAGAATTTTTTTTCTACCTTATCGAGTCCATCCTAACGACCTGGAGTAGACAGATGTTGTTATTTAATAATATTAAAGGTATCGTCGCACGATGTAATTATTTTGAAGCAGAAACACCTTGGTCGACAGGCTCCATTACCACGTACATAATAGTATTATTCCAGAGGGAGGTTGTTTCTGGGGAGGTCATTAAAAGGGACTTGGAAATCAAGTTTGTGAAGAACAAAGTTACTTCTGTAAAAGGTTACCTCTAGTTACCTCTGTATTTTCTAGCTCTTTCTAAAAACAAACCAAAACAAAACACACGTTCTCTTGAGGCGCATGCGCTATTTTAAGAGCGCTTGCGTGTGAATGTAAGGCTGAGCGAGATGCTTAATTGCTGCAGTTCAACATTAAACTTAGTTTTTTTTTAATGGCTTAAATGTTTATGTTAATGCATGGTTCCATATACTGAATAAATGTAGGAAGTAGGGTTTTTTTTCCAATAACCAAAATAAGCATCTATTATGCAGTGGCTGTAAAAATGATAACTGTGATCTGATGGCGTTGTCTTCACTGATGCGAATGCAAATTTTGATGTATTGTGAGAATTAAGAATCACCCCGAGGGGTTCCCCTTTGCTGCATGGAATTATTTGGTCCCTCTCCTTGAATTGCATAAAGTTTGATCCTTGATTTCCTTCCACAACACTTAACAGAATATTTACTGAATGGCATTGGAATAAAACAGGAATAATTGCAGTTAAGCTTGTCTTACTCATGGACTGGGATGAGTTAAAGGTAATATAGTATGATGGGGACCTGGCAGAGAAAAAGTTGATGTCAGGCAAATTTGTGCCATCATTAACTGCAAGTGGCTTCTTTTAAATTGTTGATCTCCAGGGCATCAGGTTTGAATAACTGTTCAAATCACATCTTGCCCAGTTAACCATAGTTTAAGGAGGTAATTTCAATTTTACAGATTCCCACAGCCCACCAAATAAATAAATTAAGCACATAAGTAGCATTTATGCAATGCATTTAGGGTAAAATGTGGTTGGCTAGCTTATAGACTTTAACTTCAGTTGGGCTGCAAGTCCCCCCCCTCCCAAGTCAGTTTAGTCCTTCTTCCGAGGAAGGGAAGCACTGAGAGAAGCTCAAAAAATACCCGCCTTTTTGCCAAGAAATTTTAACTTCATTTTTCTACGAAGGAAATCTTTCTGGATCCTGATGCTGTGGCTCAGTTCTGTCACTTAACAGATTCTTTTTTTTTTTTTTTTTTTATTAAAAGTTTTATAAATTTTACAAAAAAGAAAAAAGAATACAAAACAAGAGACAACATATACAAAAAAAATAAAACTAAACAATACATATATATATAAAAAAAAACCCCCCACCCCTCCCAAAACCCCCCCCTCCCTTCCCCCCCCCTGAGCTTCCCAGAGCAGAATATAGGCTTAAGAAGTAAAAATAAAAATTAAATTAAGAACTTTATATTTATATATATATAAAGATTATCTATAATATATATGAAAATAAAACTTATGAAAAAACTATATAATATTTTTGTGTACCCAATCTAAATTGTATAAATTTTATCCATTTATCCCAAACAGCAAGAAACTTCTCTTGCGTTTGTTGCTTTAAGAAAGCCGAAATCTTTGCCATTTCCGCCAGATAAGCTACTTTAAGAAACCATTCCTGCAATGTAGGCAAAGATTCCTTCTTCCAATATTGTCCTACTAACAGCCTAGCGGCTGTAATCAAATTTAACATCAAAACAACCTCCTTTGTATCACAATCTGTAACAATACCTAACAAAAATAATTGCGGAGTAAATTTTACCCTCCTTCTAAAAATTCTCTGGATATTCCACCATATTTTGATCCAAAATGCTTTTATCTCTCTGCATGACCACCAAATATGATAATAGGAAGCCTCCTTATAACCACATCTCCAACATTTGGGTTGCACGTCAGGGTACATATAAGACATTTTTTGTGGATCAAGGTGCCATCTATAAAACATTTTATAAAAATTCTCCCTTAAGTTCTGTGCTTGTGTAAATTTGACATTTCTCACCCAAATATTTTCCCAGGTGTCCAATGAATCTGGCTCACCAAAATTCTGCGCCCATCTTATCATACAATCTTTAATTAGTTCCGTTTCTGAATCCAATTCAACTAAAACCGCATAAATTCTCTTACTGTGGGTTTGTCTTGAATCCTTCACTTGCTTGATAAGATTTTCATCTTCTCTAAGAAAACCCACCTTACAATCCATCTTCCATCTGTCTAATAATTGCCTATATTGGAACCAAGAATAAATAAGGTTTTCTTGCGCTAACTCTTCCCGTGATTTTAATTGCCAGTTTTGTCCATCCCATTTAAGTAACTGTCTGTAAGACACCATATCCATTTTAACCCCTCTTTTTATTGCTTCTATCGCATGCAAGGTATAGCCCATAATGGTACTTTGAAATCACTTTTATAATATTTTCTCCAAATCCTAAGTAAAGAAATTCTTAAGATATGAGATTTAAAAGCCCAATCCATTTTTTATTGAATATTAAATAGGCATGCCACCCATAAAGTAAATCCCATCCCTCTAGATAAAGTATCTCAGAATTTGTCAAATTTACCCAATCACTGATTAGCGTTAAAACCACCGCATCATAATATAATTTCAAATTTGGTACCTTAAGTCCACCCCTCTCACGGAAGTCTTGCATAATTTTAAACTTAACCCTTGGCTTTTTCCCTGACCAGATAAATTTATTAAGACCCTTCTGCCACTCATTTAAATTAATCTCATTTTTCAAAATTGGTAACATTTGAAACAGAAAAAGAAACTTGGGTAAAATATTCATTTTTATCACTGCAATTCTACTTAACAGATTCTTCAAGTCCTAGAGCTCTTGCATTCTGCTGCCTGCCCAGCCCTTGTGATAAAAGTTAAAGGCTAAGGAAAGGGGAACTTAGGTCTGTCCTTTTATTTAATAATTAAAAAAAACTTTGGGGTACAGTTTATATCTGTAACTCATTTTCCAAAGGGGTGGATGGAAGTAGTAACTCATAAAGCAAAACTTTTAGAAAATACTGTTGTACTGAATCCCAGTGATTTCGATGCTCAATTATATCCAATGATAATCAGCCTTTCCAGATTATTGTTTTACTTTATCAAATTTATATGCCACTCATCTTGAGGTGTGAGGCGATAGTGAATGGCATACATAATAAAATATATGGAAATAAAAACAATTATAGAATGTAAAAGCAGATTAAAAATAAAACTAAAAAGATAAAATTATAAAAACTAAAAAAAATCATGGCAGAGTGGAAGTGGTCTGTTTGTTGCTATATTAGCCATCTCCAGCCAACAGCTTCAGGGCCCCATGCCAAATGACATAGTCAAGATTTGCATGAGTAAAGGCGGCCAATTCCACTGGGGTAAAACAGCTCCTCAGATATCCTGGATATATGCCATAAAGGGCTTTAAATACCTTGAACTGGACCTGGAAGCAGATTGACAGCCAGTGCAGCTCATGTAACAGTGATGTTATATGTGCCATCCTAGGGGTCTCCAAAACTGTATGTGCTGCTGCATTCTGGATCAATTGTAGTTTTCAAATACTCTTTAAAGGTAGCCCCATGTAGAGTGCATTGCAATAATCTAAACAGAAAATGACAGGGGCATGAGTGTCTGAATGCAGAGCCTCACGATCCAGAAAAGAGCACAGTTGGCACAAACCCAAAGTTGTGAAAAGGTTGTCCTAGCCACCACTGCCACCTGCTCTTTGAGGAATCAGGATTCCAGGAGAACCCCCACGTTGCACACTGGGTCTGTCTAGGGTAGTGCCACCTTATCCAGAATTAAAAATGATAAACCTCCAGATCCCAAGGCTCCGTATGTCCAGACTCCATTTTACTAGTTGAAGCTTATCCCTCAGGACCCTACAGCCTGAAGCACCATGAGAAAGAGCCACAGCATCACTTATATCATCAGTGATGGAGATATAAAGCTGAGTATCATCAACATATTGATGGTATCTTATCCCATTGTGTCAGATGATCTCACCCAACAGCTTCATGTGGATGTTAAAAAGGATCTGAGAAAGTACTGAGTCCTACAACAGCACACAAAGGAACAGCTGTGGGCTGGATCTCTCATTCCCTATCGAGCCGAGGTGGCGCAGCAGTTAAGAGTGCAGTACTGCAAGCCACTTTAGCTGACTGTGTTCAGTAGGTCAGCAGTTCAAATCTCACCGGCTCAAGGTTGACTCAGCCTTCCATCCTTCCGGGGTAGGTAAAATGAGGACCCAGATTGTTGGGGGCAATGTAAATATATATATATATACATTGCTTACTGGTGTACACGGTTTAGAGAGTGCTTGCACTTAAAGCGGTATATAAGTCTCATAAATAAATAAATAAATAAACACTAATTGGAACTTGCTGCAGAGAAAGGAACCAAACCATTGCACCACCCAGTCCCAACCCTGACAGCCTGACCAAAAGGATACCATGGTTGATGGTATCAAAAAC